CAAAGTTATCGCACCTGTTCCTCGTGAAAATCATGTGATTCTAACCGAGCAGATAGGGAAACTGAAGCTCAAAGAAATGATATTGTCCACATATTTGAACAAAGACGTGAATGGCATAGCTGAGACAAGAACCCAGCCTATCCCTACTTCCCTGGCCCTCTGTCGCCACTGGTCTGGGCACGGAAACTGGGAGGGAGGAGTCTACACGCTCTAGCAAGAGGGGAAGGGTTAACGGGAGGGGACAGTTGCAAGTTTTTTCTTTTTGCCCGTCCCCTAACGTGCAATTGATATTGTTTCACAATGCTCATTTGTACCGCTCTTGTTAATGTTTCTTTATAGATGTTTTAGTTATGTCTGCCCCATATGTGCGGCTGATTTTTTTTTCTTAGACTCTGAGCTCCTGGTGGGCACTTTCCGCTGCACGACTTCCCCAGGGGAATTAGAACAGGTTTCCACACGCCCTCCCCGTGGTGTGACTGAGTCGGGGCCCCCTGAGGGGCATGGGAAAACAATACTGATACCTCCACGCTGGGGCAGACAGAAACCCAACTTCCTCTCTTGGTTTCTGTCCTGTTAGACCCCAGCCAGGCTTCTCGGCATCCTTGTTAGCCTCTGTGAGAAATTAAAGCCCCAATAATCAAATCAACCCTTGTAAATTCCCCAGAAGCAGCTCCAGAGCACCAAGGAGCCAGCAAACCCCAGACCCAAATCCATGTCAAATTTCATAGATATAATTTAAGCAGGGATCAAAACCCACACTAACCTAGTAACTGAGGCTGCTCAAAATGCAGAGTTTATAGTCCATCTGCCTCTCTGCTTCAGGGAGTCTGTATTAAATTTATTGCAAAGTAAAACAAATAAACCCAGGCAACGGCAGGATGGAAATCTGCATACTCGTCAGAGAATTAGCAGCCCTCTCGGGTTAGGAAGGCTGCCTCTCAATTTGCATCTCTAAGGAGTTGTGACTGGGCTGGGGGCGGGGATGGTCGGGGCAGGACGGAGACTCGGAGCAGGCCTGCCCCCTGCTGGCTGACTGTGGAACGGCAACCCTTTGACTGCAGGTGGGCGCTGAGAGGCTCACCTGGGCCAGCTAAAAAGAGAATCTGCAGCTGAAATAATTGTTGAAAAAGTGTGGAATTGGAAGAGCAGGTAGCAGAGAGAGGAGAGGAAAGAGAAGGGCACTGTGGGGAAGAGATCCTTATTTCTAAGCATAAGACCCGGGGATGGGATGCTGGGAGCTTGAGGAAGGAGGAGATGGAGATTTAGAGTTGACGTTCTGTTCAGTTGTACAAACCAGAGGCCATGGTGCATTTCTTGACTTCTCTCCCTCCTCCTTCCCCTCTCCCTCCCCTTGCTCTTTACAACCTGTAATCACAAAGCCCAGAAGACTGCAGTGCAGGTGGCAGGGATTCTTGCCTGGTACTGTTGGCTGGGGAGTACCTGCCACCAAATGGCCATGTGACCCTTGGGGAAGGCTGTGGCTGGATTTGGGGGCTGGGACCAGGCAGGCGGGTTGGCATTTGCTTGTCCCTGAAAGGAAGTAAATCCTGAAATTTTGCCTCCCCCAAGGCCTGGCCCTGCTGAGTGGGCTCATCTAGGGACAGAGAAGACCTCTAAGGTGCCTTTCAGTGCTAACATCCTCGAATTCAAGGTCTCTGGTCCGGGAGCTCAGGCATCCGTCACACAATTTCCAGGGAAGTTCCAAGGATCCTAGCTACTCTCCTGGGACATCCTCATCTCATCCTCCATGACTGGCTCTGATGGCACCCTCTTTAGAGTGATGCCTCCCCTGACTTCTTTGGGCAGAGATAGGCTGTCTTCCTCGTACTGCTTTATAGGTAGGTAGACACATGCATAGACAGATAGATATAGATATGTTGGTATATATGTAATGACCCTGTAATGACTTGTTTTATTTATTTATCAGCCCCATCCCCTAGAATGCACCATCCTTGAGTACTTTGGATGCATGGGAAGGGATAAGGGCTGGTGAGTGTCACGGTCATTCTCAGTACTTATGTGCTCCACTCTGCCTGCTTTTCCTAGCCCAGTGCCTGGAACATAGTAGGTGTGGAATAAGCATTTGTTGAATGAATGAAGGAATGAATAAATAGAGAACAGAGTGGCAGAAGATGATGAAAGTTTGGCTGCACAGTTTACCCAGAAACCTAGAATGGATGTCGCCCTTGACTTCATAGTTTATCCCTTATTCTTCAATGACCCCATGATGGTTCCAGCTTGTTGACTTCCTGAGTAGCTTTCAAAGCCATCTGCTTCTTCTCCATTTCCCCAAGAGGCAGCACCTCTAAGTGGTGATGAGCACAGACTGTGAGATCCAAAAGACCTCAGTTCTAGACTTGGCTCCAACGCTTAAAGTAGCCAGAGGATTCTAAGTCCCAGTTTCTATCTTTTTTTTTTTTTGACAACAAAGCACAGTGGTTAGGAGTATAGATACCCAAGCTAGACTGCCTGGGTTTTCATGCTGGGTTCTCCATTTGTTAGCTAAGAGGCCCTGGGCAAGTGACTTAATCTCTCTGTGCTTCAGTTTCCTCATCCATAAACTAGAATTAATAGAACCTACTTCATCAGGTTGTTGTGAGGATTAAAAGAGCTAATACACACAAAGCCCCTAAAACAACACCTGGGACACGGTTAGCATGAACTCACGCTATAAGCACCAGCAATCATTAATAAACAGCAAAGGAATATTACAGAACTGAAGGCAAGTACCCGAAGGAGAGTTTGCCCCAGAAGACACTTTGAAAGGTAAGGAGGAAGCTATGGATGAACAAGCAAAGCATTTCCACAAGGAACATGTGCAGACATGCCGAAGAATGATTCAACTGACTAAGTGGCAAAAAAGCTAGTATTTCTCTGAACCTGCAGAACCCAAGTTGACATTTTTTTCAGCAGAATCAGAAGCATCCGTGGGGTGAGTCCCAAGAGTCAAAAGGTTCAGTTTAGTAGTTTGTTGGCCTGCGGGATCCTTGGGTGCATGTTCGTTTATGGAACATTCCCTACCTGGCCCCCCCTGCCCTCCTCAGCCTCAATCTGGCCACTGTTCCTATGACCCTCCAGGCTGCATCCATAAAAATATGTGCCCGGCTCCTCCCGCAGAACTTGCTCCTCGTACCTCTGTGTCTTCATGCGTGCAGGCGTCCTACCTACTGTCCCCCCCCCTCTGTATTCGCTCATCCCCTGACACTTCAGTTCTGTGTTCATATGCCAGGTCCTCTGGGAAACCTCTCCCTGTGCAGACTGGGCAAGGCACCCTGAATCTGTGCTCCCAGAGCTGTGCGCGCCCCCTCGCCCCCATCTAGTAGTCGGCTTGGGCTGTATAACACAATATCACAGACTGCGTGGCTTAAAAAACAGATATTTATATTCTCACAGTTCTGGAGGCTGGGGGTTCAAGATCAAGGTGCCAGCAAGGTTGGTTTCTAGTGAGGCCTCTCTATTTGGCTAGTAGATGGCTGTCTTCTTACTCTATCCTCAAGAAGCCTCTTCTTGGCCAGCGCAGTGGCTCACGCCTATAATCCTAGCACTTGACAGACCGAGGCAGGTGGATCGCTCGAGGTCAGGAGTTCGAGACCAGCCTGAGCAAGAGCGAGACCCCGTCTCTACTAAAAATAGAAAGAAATTAGCTGGACAACTAAAAGTATATAGAATAAAATTAGCCGGGCATAGTGGCACATGCCTGTAGTCCCAGTAACTTGGAAGGCTGAGGCAGGAGGATCCCTTAAGCCCAGGAGTTTGAGGTTGCTGTGAGCTAGGCTGACGCCAAGGCACTCAGCAAGACTCTGTCTCAAAAAAACAAAACAAAACAAAAAAACCAAAAAGAGGCCTCTTCTCTGTTGCATGTATGGTGGGAGGGGAGAGGGAGGGGAGGGAGAGAGGGAGGGGAGAGGGAAGGGGAGGGGAGGAGGAAGAGAGAGAGGGAGATCTTTGGTGTCTCTTCCTCTTTTCATAAGGAAACCAGTCCTATTGGATTAGGGCCCTGCCCTTATAACTTCATTTAACTTTAATTACCTCCTTAAAGGCCCTATCTCCAAATACAGTCACATTAGGGGGTTAAAGTTTCAACATATGAGTTTGAGGGACATGACATTCAGTCCATAACATCCGTTAGATAATAAATTCCGTGAGGGCAGGGCCTTATCTATTGCTTATTTGTATGTTCCCCAGCACAGAACCCTCACCCTGTCTCCTCGTGGTTCTCTGTAATTGCTATAGTACCTGCTCATAGCAAGGGCCCAATCAGTATTTGTTGTTGGGTGAGTGAATGGATGAATGAATGAATGAGTCAATCACTTGTGATGGTAGTATGGGTTTTAGAAACATAGGTACTCATGATCTAGATTAGGTTCCTCATTTTACAGAAGAGGAAACTGAGGCACGAGGATCCTTGCTAGTTAGAGGCAGAATGAGTGTTGGAAACCAGATTCTCGATACTGCTACTCTGCGTCCAGTGCTCTTTTCACCTGGAGTGAGGGCTGTCCAAGAGCTGCATACAACTGATGATTTACAAAAAATCCTTGTCCAGAGTTTCCTTGCAAAAAGAAAGTCTTTGGTCTTTTATGGGCAAAAATTCTTCACTTTGTTTCTCATGTCACACTTGAAATGCTTTTCCTCCTCCCCCTCTGGTTAGGGCAGGGACTTCCCTTCCACCAAGTTTGATTCCAAGCTGACTACCCAGGTGTGTGGCTCTTTGGATTCCTGCCTCTCTGCTAATGGCTTTCCTTAACTGTTTGTCATTTGCTTATGCAAATCTACCTTTTTCTGCATTAAAATGAACCCAATTATAAAGTGAAATTTCACAATTAAACCACTTAGTGAAGGACATTAAGGGACCAGAAGGAATTGATTTGTAAAAACTTTGGTGATAATTACCAAATGTTTCTGAAATGTGACTAAGTTCTAGGTTTCTCTTTAAACAAACACACGTACTTGCACATTTTCATATACATACGGCACAGACACTTGCACATATTTTCACACACCTGGTTTCCATCTTCTCACTTTGGGGCTTGTTCTTGCTCCTTCTCTGGGCCTAAATTTTCCCCAAATAGAGGAAATTCCACCAGCCATCAGATCATGTCTGCAAAGTTCTTGGATGCCTTCCAAAAGAAATGGCCACTGGGCTGAGGAAGCTGGAGTGGGCAGGAAAATAGAAGAAGGTGTAATGGTTTTAATAAAGTCTCTCTGCCACCTTGGTGATTGATTGATATATTTTGGCATTTGCTTCCCCCACTCTGCTGTAATCGATAGCAGTTACAGGCCGAGGAGCAGGAAAGGGTGGGGATGTGGGATGGGGGCAGCATTGATTGATCGTTACAGGAAAGAGTCTTACCCGGTGTGGCCACTAGAAACAGGACCTTGCTGTCCCAGGGAAAGGTTACCTTTCCTTATACCCCTTCCCCACCCTGTCAGGTAAGGGGGCACAGGGTCTAGAAACTGGGAGAAGGGTATGGATAGATGGACATCCACCTGAAAAACTAGGCTTTCTGGTGTTTGAGGGAGTCAAAGTCACGCTCACCTTTCTTCTCCTTGTACCCTCAATTGGAGGGTAGAAACCACAGTCTCCTGGGCTGGTGCAGGTGTCCCTGCACCACTGTGGGAAGAGCCTTTAAGGGTGAGGGATGATGAGATGCTTAGGGGGCCCAAAATTCATCTATATCCAGGAATGAATCCAACTCACTTGGCAGCATGCTGCTGCTCAGGTGGTATAATGTAGCAGGGACTTCAGCACAGATTCTGGAGCCAGATTGCCTGGGTTCAGAGCCCGGCCCTGCCACTTACTGTGTGACCCTGGACGAGTTGATGGACCTTTCTGTAGCTTGATTCCCCCATCAGTAAAATGGAGATGAAAACAGTACCTATTTCCTGGGGTTGCTATAATAGTTATGAGCATTAATATATGGAAAGAATTTGGAAGGGCCCTGGCATAGAAGAAATGCTATGTGCATGTTGCAATTATTATCTGTTGGTGGTGGACACCTGGGCTGGCATCCATGATTTATGAGTGGAAACTTAAAGGTACAAGATTCTCTAATCAAACAGGGTCATCACAGCGTTTGCCTTCTGGTGATGAGAACACAGGGCTCAGGACCCAGCATCTGTTAAATAATTCTCTCAGTTCATCAGCCCGTTAGCCACAGGATTTCTCAACCTTTTTTAGATTAATTTTTTTTTCTTGAAAGCTTTCAGAAATAAAGAACAGGTCCAGATTCGAGGGACAGAGATAAAATGGATTGAGAATGATAGTTTCAATGCCCAAGAAGTCCAACCAAGACAGGTATTCATTCGTTTAACAAACACCAAACTCCTACTCAGTGCAAGACAGTTTTAGCTGATCAGACGATTTCTGTTTGTGAACTTGAACTTAGAGCTGATACATTCAGATGTATAATCACCCCTCTGCAATGTCATGACAAGTAGCTTTCATGTAACTGGAGATTCCTCTTCTAGAACAATTGCTCAAAACAGAAAATGTGGACCGGGCACAGTGGCTCACACCTGTAATCCTAGCACTCTGGGAGGCTGAGGCAGGTGGATCGTTTGAGCTCAGGAGTTCGAGACCAGCCTGAGCAAGAGCAAGACCCTGTCTCTACCAAAAATAGAAAAAATTAGCTGGGCATGGTGGTGCATGCCTGTAGTCCCAGCTACTCGAGAGGCTGAGGCAGAAGGATTACTTGAGCCGAGGAGTTTGAGGTTGCTGTGAGCTAGGCCGACATCACAGCACTTTAGCTGGGGCAACAAGGTGAGACTCTGTCTCAAAAAATAAAACACAAAAACCAAAAAAACCCCACAGAAAATGTGAGGTTCTTTGTTTTTGTTTTGTTTTTCTGAGACAGAGTCTCATGCTGTTGTCCAGTCTAGAGTGCAGGAGCATCATTATAGCTCACTGCAACCTCAAACTTCTGGGCTTAAACAATTCTCCTGTTTCAGCCTCCCTAGTAGCTGTGACTATAGGCACAGCCACCATGCCCTACTAATTTCTATTTTTTATAAAGATGAGGATTTTGCTATGTTCTTCAGGCTGGTCTAGAACTCCTGGCCTCAAATAATCATCTTGCTTGGCTTCCCAGAGTGCTAGGATTATAGGCGTGAGCTACCACGCCCCGCCACCAAATGGTTCTTTTTAAGGAGCATTTGCCACTTAACATTTTTGTTGAAAACTTATTCACTTTTGAAGTATAGTTTTATTTTCTTTTATTGACATGGGTGAATATTTAGTTTTTAGAAATTCAGTTTAGAAATTTAGTTTTTAGAAAGTTTTAGTTTTTAGAAATTCATTTTAGTACATGAAGTGACTTGGGGGCTTATTTTCTCTCTAAACATAGAACTGGACGCTGTGGTAAACAGGAGCAGCTGGCAGATTGGTGGGCAGGTACTGAGGATCCTAGGTTGAGGGGGTCCATGACAGATGCCTAAGAGGTTAGAGCTGGAAGGGACCCTAGAGATCATTTAGTTCAGCCCCTTCATTTGAAAGCTGAGCCAGGGAGGTGGAATGGCTTTCAGATCTGAATGGGAATTCAGGTCACTGGTGCTATTCCATGTGTTGTGAGCTTGTTGTGGATGCCCTCCTAGCTCTACGGCAGGCCCTTTCCCTTTTTCTAATTGCCTTCTGTTCTCACGTTTGTGTATCAGGCTCAGTTATTATTTTACAATTCAGTTCAATAAGAGGAATTTGCTCTGAGTACTTGACTCAGTGCCAAGTATTATCTTAGGGCCAGTATACAAAACAAGATACGAACCCTACCAAGGAGACTGTAGCAGACGGTATTAGTGTACCCAGTTATTTGCTGCCTCTCACTGTAACAGGTTTATATCTGGACCATCACAGATAAGTTTAAGTCACATGATCAGGTCTGACAACAGACTTGGTCATGTGACTTGTTTTGGCCAATGACATTTGAGGAGAAGTGATATTTCAATGATATTTTGTGGTCCCACTGCATTTTCCCTTTTTAATCTCCCAGGAAGAGTAGCAGATCCAGGATAGGGCTGGGCCTCTAGCTGGGTCCCACAATGAAAAGAAGATAGCGAGTAGAGCCAGAGCCACAGCCGATGTGCAACATGATGAGCTATAAACCTTTGCATGGTGAGCCACTGAGATTTTGTGGTTGTTTATACTGCAGCATAACTAGCATAAGTTGATGGCTACAGAGAGGATCACAAATTAGTTGGAAAGACAGTTTATTTACAACTGAAACACAGGGTGATGGTTGCTTTGCTGGATGTATACACTGAAGATTCAGAAATAGGCCAGATGAGGAAACAAGTAGCTCTGGGAAGGGCATCAGGAAAACCTTTCTAGAAGAGGTGATAGATTGGAAGCATTTAAAGGTTGAAGAGAACTTCCCCGTATTAGGTGATTGGGAGGCTTATTTATTGAGGCATTTCAATCAGAACAGCACGCACAGCCATGAAATATTGTGGTATGTTTGAGAATTGCCTGTACCGTCCTCAATTGTGGGCCAGGGTCAGGTTTCTTAACTTTGAATCCTATTGGCCACCAGCCACTGTGTCAGGTCCCCAAGATAAAGATCCATTATTTATTTTGATCAGAGCTTGGCCCCCAAATCATCTGATCTCATACCCTGAAAAGCTGAGTGGGGCTATGTGTGAGCCATATGGACCCTTTTTAAGAAGTTTAATTTTTATTTATCAAAGAATACATATGCATAGTTTAAAACTCAACTGCTGCCTTGCCTCCCTCTCCTGCACTCCGTTCCATTCCCAATGCAGTCATCATCACCTCTCACAGCTCATTTCTTTTATGTGTATATCGTTATGTTTCTAAATAATACACTTATATTGTTACTTCTTGATTTACCAATTTTAGAAATTATATACTGATTTACTGCCGTGGTAGATGACAACTTAGCTCTCCCATAGCGTTTGCTCCCAACTTTATTCCTGTACTTCCCCTCCTCCTAGCTCTCCAACATCAACTTATTTTTTTTTTTTTGTTCAATTAATACTTGGTGTTTATATACTAATGACAATGCAAATAGTATTTACTACTGAGTCAAGTAGTACACTGTGATAAGACGTGTTCTTTTTTATACAAGCCTTTGTTTTTCCTGGAGTTGATAATTGCTTCCTTTTTTATTGACTTAGTTTCCAAGTGTTCTTATAATTACTTTTTTCCAAATGGTGCAACATCTCTGCTACCTACCTGCCAATACTATTTTCCATACATTCCCGTTCATCTGTTCTATTTTTCTCCCCCATAGTAATCCCTCCTTCTGTTTTTCTGCTTCAATCTAAATTTGCTACTTTATAGGAATACTGTGTAACTGTCATCCAGAGGTTTCAATTTATTGTCATTTTGAGTATTTCCTTTATTGCCTTTCTGTGTTAGGTCTCTTAGTTCCAGAATTCCATGTATTCTATATTAGACTATCATCTAACTTTACCAAATCCCATCCTCCAATAACTTCCTAAGAAAGGGAGCATAGGAGGTAAAATTCTTGAGTTTTGAGGTATTTGAAAATATCTCAAGACTATTATGATACGTGATTAATAATTTATTTGGGTATAGAATTTTATTTTTGTATTTGTATTATTTTTTTAGAGACAGGGTCTTGCTCTGTTGCCCATGTCAGAGTGGAATTTTAGATTAAAAAACATTTTTTTTCAGATCGTAAAAGGCATTTCTCTGTTATCTCTTATCATTTGATGTTGCTTTTTAAAGAAGTTTAATGTTATTATTCTTGTTTATTTTTTCTGTGTTTTTCCTCTTTATAAGATTCTAAGAACTTTTTTTACCCTTATGTTCCAAAATGCCATGATAATGATGGTGGTTGGCATTGGTATGTATTTTTTCCATTCTTTGTGCTTTACTAATCAGGAAAGACTAATATCCTTTATTTCTCTCTCTATTATCCTTTTTTTCCCTTTTTGCTTCACTCTTTGGGAAATTTCCTCCATTTTATCTTCTAAACCTTATATTGAGTCTTCAAAAAATGTTTAGTGATATTTTTAATTTCAATAAGACTTTTAAAATTAAAATTTTCTGTTTGCATTGTAATCTCTTCTTGTTCTATATAATATTTCTTATCTTTTTAATGAGAAGTGTTTTTGAAGTGTTATTGCTCTTTTTGAATGTTTCTTTTGCTCCTTGCAAAACCTCTCTTGCCCC